TTCCCCCCTACCAGTGTCAAGCTTTATGTCTACACTAAAGTCTTTGGTCCATTTGAGCTGATTTTTGTACAGATGAAAAATAAAGATCTGGTTTCTTCCTGTACACATCCATTTTTCTCAGCACCGCTTTTTAAAGAGGCCTGGGCAACTTTATAGAATGAGAAGTTAATGGCTCTTTGCCTCCCTTTTGAATATGAAGACACCATCTGGGCTCCCTTGAGCCTGCCTGCACAACCGTGGTCCACATGACCCTTGGTGTGATTTCGTAGTGTTTTGAGATCACCTCAGGCCACCTGCTCAGTCTGTCTTCTCAAACTCATTCCCCAGAAGCAGAATAAAAAGTCTTGGCAATAAATATATCCCCTGGATGTAGACATTTCATTAGTCAGAGTTAAAGTCCATTGCTGCTGCAGGATCTGAAATGCAGACAGGTCAAGGCACCTTTGCCCACCTCTTGGAGCTGCCTGTAATTGTTACAGTGAAGAGTGTTTTCAGAACTGTATCATAATGAAATTCAAGTGCCCTAAGGTGCTTTGTGTTGATTATAGACTTAAAACATTGTTGCTTCTCTTCCTTAAGAACTTGTATTGGATTTATTTATTTATTTTTAAGGAAAGTAGGTTTAAGCCTGGCATGGTGGCACACATTTTTAAAACCAGGGTGCAGTAATTCAGTGCAGTGAATTCAAGGCCAGCATGGGCTACTGAATGAGACTTTGTATCACAAAAATAAAGCCTGGGCATGGTGGCTCATACCTTGAATCCCAGCACTCAAAACAGAGGTAAAGGCAAGATCTCTGTAAGTACAGGGCAAAATGAGTTCCAGGCCAGATAGTGAGAGTTGTACAAGAAGGAAGGGAGGGAGAGAGGAAGGAAGGAAGGAAGGAAGGAAGGAAGGAAGGAAGGAAGGAAGGAAGGAAGGAAGGAAGGAAGGAAGGGAGGGAGGGAGGGAGGGAGGGAGGAAGGGGAGGGAGGGAGGGAGGGAGGGGGAGAAGGAAGGGAGGGAGGGAGGAAGGAAGGAAGGGAAAGAGAGGGAGAAGGAAGGAAGGAAGGAAGGAAGGGAAAGAGAGGGAGAAGGAAGGAAAGAAGGAAAGAAGGAAAAGGAGGAGGGGGAGAGAAGTAAGGAGGTGGGGTGGGGAACAGAGGGAAGAGGTAAAGGAGGTAGGAAATTGCTTACATACATTTCCTCTCTTCTTTTCTTTTTGTGAGTTTAATGCCAAAGGCTCCTTGGGTCTAAGGCAACATTTAACTCAGCCCTTTTGGAGGTTTAGGAGCTCTGTGTTCATAACAAAACGCATCAAAACTGATAAGACCCTTGCCAATTCTCTCAGTCCACCCAAAACCCCCACTTGCTGAGGCTTTTGTGATTTCTACAAGTCCAAATGTCTTGCATCTTACAGACCTGTGCTTACTACAGAAGTATGGCTGAGATTCTTCCTTTTTTAGTGTATTTTTTAAAGATTTTTTTGTTTGTTTAGTTAGTTAGTTAGTTAGTTAGTTAGTTAGTTAGTTAGTTAGTTAGTTAGTTAGTTAGTTAGTGATTATGTATACAGTGTTCTGCCTACATGTATGCCTGCAGGAGGGCACCAGATCTCATTTTAGATGGTTGTGAGCCACCATGTGGTTGCTGGGAGTTGAATTCAGGACCTTTAGGAAGGGCAGCCAGTGCGCTTAACCTCTCTGAGCCATCTCTCCAGCAATTCTTCCTTTTTTAAATTTCATGTTGTGTGCATAGGTGTTTTGCCTACATGGATGTTTGTATACCATGTACAAGCCTAGTACATAAAGAGTCCAGATGAGGGTATCAGATCCCCTTAAACTGGAGCCATAGGTGGTTATTAGCTGCCAGGTGGGTACTGAGAATGGAATCTGGGTCCTCTGGAAGAACAGCCAGTGCTCTTAACCACTGATCCATATCCCCAGATCCCTGAGATTTTTTTTTTCCTGCCTGGATTTTGCCCTAGAATGTCTGCCTTGTTGTTATCTACAGGATCTTAACCCACATGTGTATGCCTTAGACAGAGGATGGAGGATTCTGGGCAGCTCAGGGGGTAGATCCTGATTGTGGGACCTGGAGACAAAGCCTCTTACCTCTCCCTGCAGTCCCCCCCCCCCCAAGACAGCATCATGGTCCACTTGACGCAGTCTGTTAATGCCCTTCAGTTTCTCAAACACAAAAAGATATTCCATAAATTCTAATAGCCTCCATTTCTACTGTAGGTTCCCTGAGACCAGGAATTTAAAGGCTTGAAGTAGAGAAATAATGTGAACAAACTAAGTTTAAGAACTTCAGAATAGTCTTACCAAATGTGTAATCACTGAGTTTGTGTTTTTCACTGGACTGTGGGGCTTGGAGTCCAGGTGGGAGACATCTTCTGTTTCTCTGTCATGACGTCTGAGGTGTCGTGTGAATACTTCAAATGGATGTTAATTTTCATGGTGATTAAAAAGGTGAAATTATTCAAGGTGAAATAAATAACTTTAACAGACCTATACTCCCAAGTTAAATAGAAGCAGTAATTAAAAATATTTCAACTGAAATTTCTCAGGGCCAGATGAGTTGAATGTAGAATTCTACCAGACTTAAAGTGAATTCAAGGACAGCATGGGCTACTGAATGAGACTTTGTATCACAAAAATAAAGAAAAGAAAAGAGAAGAGAAGAGAAAAGAAAAATGAAATTATGAAGATGTCAGGTAAATGGATGGAGCTAGAAATACTCATTCTGAATGAAGTAAACCACACCCAAAAAGACAAGTATTGTATGTTTTCTTTTATATGTGAATATAATTTTAAGCTTTAGTTATATTTCAGAATGTAGCTTTCTGATATATTTCTGATATCTAGCTAGATATCAGAATAACCTCAGAGGTTATTCTAACCACAGAGGTTAGTTAGCTAGTAAGAGACTAGAGAAAAGAAAAGGATTTTCTAAGAAAGGGGAAATAGAATATAGTGTTATAAAGAGATAAGGAGGAAACTAAAATAGGATTAAATGAAGAGGTGAATGTAAGAACAGGGTAAAGGAGGGAACAGGGGAGGAACAACTAACATGAAAGGAAGGGAGTTTAGGCTTTTTGAGACAGGGTCTCACTACATAACCCTCACTGGCCTGGAAATGGCTCTGTAGGATTCAGACTTACAGAGATCTGCTTGCCTCTGCCTCTCAAGTACTGGGATTAAAGATGTGGAATACCATGCCTGATCCTATGAAAGGAATTTAAATAAAGTCATTATATAATGAGAGGAATAATGCCCCAACTGGATACTTTATACCATCAAGTAAAATCTCCAGTGCCAGGAACGGATTGTATCTTGTTGAATTAACCAGAATGGTCCTATAGACCACCGCCACTGAACATCTCAGGCTATTCCCAAAGCTATTGCTTACCCTCCACAACCAAACAATAAGGTCCTATTGCTGAAATCGTCAAACATGAAGCAATCAAGCTGGTGCCCAACTAGAAGTTCACCCTACTGACTAGTGTTTGTGGCGATAGAAAGTACTTTACATACTACTGGAAGAGAAAAATTAATCATCACTGTCACCAGCTACAAACCTGAGGTCTACAGCAGTGACTCACCTGCAAGATATACTGGTACAATACTGGCACAAATGTTGTGGTAGTAGTCAGCTCCTTTTTATTAGATTTAAGGACCAGTCTATGAAATGGAACCTTCCTGACACTCTTAAAGCTGTCAAGAACATGGGAGTGGATAGATGTACAGAGAGTAAGAGACTTTAAAACACTCAGTCCTAAATAGGATGTCTCCATCAGAACTCTCTCCTCGAGGCTTGGAGATCTATGTGAAGGAGGAGATGGAAAGGTTTTAAGAACCTGAAGTGGTAGATGACTCCAAGGAAAGAGTGTCTTCCAGACCTAACAGGGCTAATCTTCCAGAAATAACCAGTCTCATGCACATATGAACTCACAGAAACTACAACAGCGTACACAAGACCTGCACAAGTTCAAAACAGACAAAATATCAGCATGAAAAAGGGCAGTAGACACCTAACCAAGGAGTTGTTTGCATTTGATAGCTGCTGGGAAGGGATAAGTATTTCTCTCCGGTGGGGTGACACCGGGGCTGACATCCACATTCCAAGGCAGGCCCCATTCTCAGGAAGAGCTGGGCAGCACAGAACAGACTCCGTGCTGTCGAGCTTGCTTGGTTTTTGTTGTGTTTTTGTTTGGTTTTAGTATTTTTTGTCTTTAATGATTTTTATTTTGGGTTTTTTTTTTGGGGGGGGGGGTTGGAGAAAAATAACAGGAAATGAGGTGAGTAAGGAGGTAGGGAAGACCTGAGAGGAGTTGAGAGAGAGGGAAAATATAACCAAAATATATGAAAAACAATCAGATAAAAAATAAAGGGAAGGAAACAAAAAATGAGAGTATTACTATGAAGAAATGCAAATTATTTTTAATTAATTAATGAAGATACGTTTTTCAACCAAAGGTTATCTGCCATAGATCGTGTCCTACATTTTTGGCCTAGCATGTTAAGTTCAAAAAAGTTCCCAGTGCCCAGCCGACTTGTGCTTTGGTTTCTGAGTGCTCCCTCCGATCCCCTGCTTTGTCCTTCAGCACTAGCTCATTTCACTACGTTCTTTTCTTTCATTGCATAAGTAATGAGGCCTGACTGAACCCTTGAGCTCTAATAAATACCTGAAACCATGTTTAAAATTACCAGTAAAAAGTAAATGATGCAGGGTTCACCTCACGTCTGAACACAGCAGCAGTGTGAAAACATGAGTGACGTTTCACAAGGAATCTGAAGCAAATCCTGTCCTAAAGGCGTGAAATAATCATCTTTGGGAAGCATAACTATACTTCTAAAGCCTACAACCGTGCTTCTTACTTACATTTACATCAAGCAAAGTAAACATCATTAGCAAATTGCCAATTGTGGGTTACTGCCCATTATCTGGATGCTAGCTTAAGATTGTTTCTGGTTGTTGAGAATTAATGGAATTTTTGCTTTGTTTTGTTTGCTTTATAGGATGCTATAGTTATCCACGAAGTCTATGAAGAAGGCGCAGCAGCCAGAGATGGAAGACTGTGGGCTGGGGACCAGATATTAGAGGTACCTGATCCTGAACTGCACATTTTAACACTGCATGATTGACGTTGGTCCATAAGGGCAAATTGTCTACCTTTTATTCGACTATTCCCTCAGTGATTTTTCTCCTGTGGAACAAAGCATATGTCATATCCTCCTCTTTTTCAGTGTTCATTGAACAACTCACTGGTTTATAATCATGACACTGTTTACCTATCTCAGAGAAAATATTTTTTAGTGGAAAAAAAAAGTACCACTTATAGTTCTATCATATTATTGTCAGACAGGATATATTCTATTGCAGCTTGATTTTTTTTTTTTTTTAGTCTGTGTTATTGCTTACCAAATCCCCTGCTGGAGAGATGGCTCAGCTATTAAAGACTAGGCTCACAACCATAAATATAAGAGTTCAGTTCCCAGCACCCATGGCTGTCTCTCCATACACCGCACACACGGACTACCACTATATAGAAAAACAACCCTTATAAATAGATGATAGATAGATAGATAGATAGATAGATAGATAGATAGATAGATAGATAGATAGATATACCCCTGCCTTTTATCTTGAAAGGCAGAAGTGAGCCACCAGGGGGAGAGATAAAATTCTGTGGTATCATTCCCTGGCACCCCTGCATCTACTTCTTAATCATTGCCTTACAGAAGTTAGCCACCACACCAGTAAGAAACATTTTTTTAAAGTGCTGGGCACGTGGCCTAGTGGAAGAGGGCTTGGATTCAATTCTCAATACCGTCTTTAAAAATCACTATCTCTCTTTATCCTGCGGCTCTAGCTTTCTTCTGTAAGCACATTGTCTGCTCATGAGGGTCCTCTGTGTTCTGCAAGCTGGTCTGCCATAGCTTTAATGATACCTGTTCCTAATTTCATTATACCTGCTCATCCAATTATTCATTGACACACGGAGTACATGAAGAAAAGCCACTTAAGAAAAGGGCTTAGCTGCCTTGCAGCTCCAGAAGATACAGCCTGTGGCCAGAAGCATAGTGGTATAAGTGATGGCTGATCATCCTGCATCCAGACTTAGGAAGCAGAGAGCGCTGTGCTCGGCTCACTTTCTCCTCCCTGCTGAATCTGGGACCTGTGGAGTGCCGCTGCCCACATTAGAGTAGGGCTTCCTACTTCATCCTGTGTCCACAAGCCCATCCCGAGGCCCGTCCCATGGTTCTAGACCCTGTCAAACCAACAGCCAGCGCTGAACTTACAGTACCCTAAACTCAAAATTAGGATAAGCCAGATTTTGTTCCCAAAGATAACCAAACAATTCTTTTGACATTGATGAACATAGACTGTCTTCTTCCTGGTGGGTCTTTTTACGCCACTCCCTTCTCTTGCCCTATGTTATTGTCATTATATCCTGTTTAAGTGGGATCAGAGAGTTAATTCCTGACTTTCCCCGAGAACTAAAATAAGGAGTAAGCAAACTCTAGTGTGGCAATGCTCATCCACTTCCCACATGCCCATCCTACTGATGTGATGTATCATGTGATGTGGGGCCTCCCAGAGCCCTTCTCAGATAGGAGACCCGTCCTCCTGCCCCAAGCTCGGTAAGCAATGATGTGAATAACGCCTGCTTTTCTAAGGAACTTGAGTGATGCGTCAGGCCACAGTGCACTGTTTGTCTCATAATGCTGCCTCTTGATCAGCCGGGCCGTGGAAACCAGGCTAAGGTCACTCTGATCTGAGCAGGTTCCTTATTGCCAGAGTTTGGTAGAGATTGCCTTAGTAATGTTAGAGTTCATTATTTGTATTTGCTGAGGCCTTTGAAATGGCTTACAAAGTTCACCCTCAGTCCATGAGGTTACCTTGTGTTTTAACTAACAGAAGTGGTCTTGTGTGCCATCTGTTGGACCACAGGAAAATAATCAGCTCAGCCCACATTTCGTAGAGACACTGCTTTCCCTTTATTCTGTGGGTTTATTCACTAACAGTGCAAAAGCCTTTAGTGGCCTGTAGGAATATTGAGGCATCCTGCACAGAGGAAAGCCGTTCTGGCAGCATCTCCTTCAGCCCACCCAAGTCAGGTGAAGGGGCCAGATACAGGGGCACATGGTGACCTTCCTGGGGTACATAGGGCTGTGTCAGAACAAGGGGTGGCAGTCACACATCAGGAGTTCTTCTGCTCTTGCCTCTGCCTGGCCATGTGGGGGCTGGTCTCCCCTTTGTTCAGCCCACTGCCAAGATGTGGCCTGGAGGGAGTGGCTAACTTTGAGTCCAAAGCTACTGCCCCTGAGTTTCTTCTTTGTGGAAATTCATTAATCAATGTCAGTTAGTTAACTCTTTGTGGTAGATCCTCTAATGACCTGTTCATAGGCTAACTTACAAGGCTGTGTGGTAAAAGGACGAGAGGGGAAAGATTGTCTGGGTTAGGAACTGGAGAGGTGAGTCAGTGGGCAAACCGCTGGCTGTGTAAGAGTGAGGCCTGGAGTTTAGCTCCTCACCTCCCAAAGGTGGGCATGGCCTGCAGTACGAGCCCTTGAGATGTGGAGACAGAGGGTCCCCATAGCAAGCTGGTTACTGAGACTAGCCAAATTGGCAAGCTCTGGGTTCAAGTGAGAGAGCCTGCCTCAATATATGCAGTAGAGAAAGAAAAATAGAAGAAGATACTCAGTGTTACCCGTCTTCACGTATATGTGCAGCGCACGCGCGCGCACACACACACACCCCCACACCTGCACACCTATATGGAAAGGAAAAAAGCCTGGGTCAAATGTTGACTGTTCCTCAACCTGTTAGCTGTGTGACTTTGGTAAAGTTCCTTGGCCTCTCCATGCCTTGTTTTCTTCATCTGTAAATGGTAATAATAGCAGTAGCTATTTCAGAGAGTTGTTGTCAGCAGTAAATGGGTAAATATCCATAACAATAATAACAGAAACAACACAATGCCAAGACAAAATAGATACTCAGCTATAGACAAAAAAAAACACACTGGAGGAAAAACGGTGTCTTGTAAAAAACTGGATCTTCACTCGATCCTTTTCTCACCATATCTAAAATATGAGTTCAAAATCCATCAGATACCATTGTGTTGGTTTGAGTGAGAATGGCCCCGTGGGCTCATATATTTGAATGCTTGGTCCCTAGTTGGTAGAACTGTTTGGGAAGGACTAGGAGGTGTGGCCTTGCTGGAGGGAGTGTATCAAAAGCTCATGCCATTTCCAGTTAGCCTTCTCTGTCTGCCTCCCGCTTGTGGAGTAGATGAACGCTCTCAGCTACTCTACCAAGCCTGCCTGCCTGCTGCCACACTTCCAGACACGATGACTGTGGACTGCCTAAAACTGTCAGCCAATATGCTCATCCTTTTATGAGTTACCCTGGTCATTGTATTCTGTCACAGCACTCGAAAAGTAACTAAGATATAGGTTGGGATCAAGGAAAGGGCTATCATTGCTGTGATAGGCCTGACCATGCTGGGTTTTGGAAGACTTTGGGCTACACCATGCTCCCTACCATGATCATGGACTTTAGTTCTCTGGAACGGTGAGCCCCAGTAAATGCTTTCTTCTATGAGTTGCCTTGGTCATGCCTTATCATACCAATAGGAAAGTAACCAAGACAATCATAATTCAAGATCTTAAACCAGTAGGGAAAAGAGAAGAAACAACAGAGGAATAGGCATAGGCAATGACTTTATAAGATTCCACTGACAGGCTGGAGAGATGGCTCAGAGTTGAAGAATACTCGCTGCTCTTCCAAAGGTCCTGAGTTCAGTTCCCAGCAACCACATGGTGGCATGTAACCATCTCTAGTAAGATCTGGTTACAGGCAAATGTTGTATAAATAATAAATAAATCTTAAAAAAAAAAAAAGATTCCACTAACTTAGGAAATAAAAGAATAAACTGACACCAGGCAGTTGGGGCTCACATGTTTACTCATAGCACTCAGGAGGCAGAGGCAGATGCAGAAGGATTTCTGAATTTGAGACCAGGCTGGTCTACAGAGCAAATTCCAGGACAGCCAGGGCTACACAAAGAAACTCTGTCTCAGAATGGGGGGTGGGTGGGGGGGTGGAGAACTGACAGAAAGCTTCTGCTTAACAAATGATGAGTGAAGAGAGAACTGACAGAGGGAAAGGAAATCTTTTTTTGCTACTTATATAATAGAGGATTAATACTCAGACTATATAAAGAACTAAAAAAAATTACAAACTAAAAGAACAAGAACTCAAGTGAATAAGTGCACAAATGAATTGAACAAACACATCTCAAAATTGGTAGTACAAATGAGCAACAAATTCATGAAAAAAATGTCCCAACATCTTTAGCTATCAGAAAACTGTAAATCAAAAATATGTAGGTCTGTAATCCCAGCTGCTCGGAGTCTGAGGCAGGAGGGTAGAGCAAGCTCAAAGCAAAAAGATCTGTGATTATAGACTAGCGACAGAGAGGGCACATGAGGCCCTGGAGTCAGCCTCTGGTGTTAAATGGGTACTGGTGGGGCAGGGGCGGGCATTGAGAGTCTCTCCAGTCTGAACAGCTGCTGTGGTGGTTAGAATGCGCTATGGGTTTCATCATTTGGTTCCTACAGCTGTTTGGGGAGGTCGTGAAAACTTTGATAATGCAGCGCCAATCTCACGAGCCTAGACCTCTGAAGGCAGGCTTTGCAGGTTATAGCTCAGCCCTGCTTTGTGATCTGACAAACTGAGCTACAAGCTGCTGCCACCATGGACCCAGCTGTTCCAGAACCTCACTTTCCCTGTCCTGTTGGGCCATTCCCTATGGCCTCCCCTGAGTTTCTTATGTTAGATATTTTGATACAACAGGAAGAGTAACTAATGTAGATATTATTTAAAACAACAACAACAAAAAGCCAACAAACAGCTGGACCAGTGAGATGGCCCAGCAAGTGAGGGAGCTTGGTGACCTGAGTTCTGAGTTCTGGCCCGGGGGCCTGGTGGTGGACGAAGAGAACCAGCTGCTACAGTTGTCCTCCGACCCCCACATTCACACTGTGGCAGGCACTCCCAGAAACTTAAGAGCACTGTGTGACCCAAGTAGACCACTCGTGGGCACATAGCCGGAGATTCTTCTTCAGTAGGCAGGAGAGGTGCCTGCGCATGCATGTTCACTGTGGTACTGCTCTGTTGCTGCTCGCTCACTTGATTGTTGGCTTTGAGGCTGAGTGTTTCTGTGTAACCTAAGTCAGCCACAGATGTATGAGAGTCCTTCTGCCCCAGCTTCCTGAGTATGGTTGTGCAACCCCTTGTCCAGTTTCATGGTACTATTGTTCTCAATAACCAAGTCATAGAATCAGCCTTGGTGCCTATCCGATAAAAAGTGTGGTATACCCACATATACACACAATGGGGTATTACCCTGCCATAAAGAAAAACAGGATCATGCCACTTGCAGGGAAACTGATGAAACTGGGTGGCATTGTGTAAGCAACATAAGCCAGACTCAGTCAAGTATCACATTCTGTCTCGTGTATGACGTCTGGGTGAGAGGAAGTCATGAAAATGGAAGGCGGAACTATTGGAAAAGATGGAGATCAGGAAGAGGGTGGGGACAAGAAAAGGTAATAAAGGGATGAATTTGACCAGAATTCCTTTATGTACATGTGAAGATATTACAAGGATACCCAGTGTTTATACAGTAATACTGATAAAGCTTGGGAAAATCCATAAGGGTTGGCATTACATGCACTATGGAAATATTTTCTTAAAAAATAAGTTGGGCGTGATCTCCATATAATAAAGCCGGAATGTGGGGCTCAGAGGGGTTCTGAGCTACCCAGATCCGTGTGACTCACCAGCAAAGCTGTGGCTTTGCCGATTGTTCCCAGTATCTCGTGTTCTCTGGTGGTGGGCCTCTCTGTGGCCATGCCATCACATTCAAATGAGAAGCCTTCAAGGGCTTCTTTGAAGTTGTTGGAAACACCTGTTCTTTCTTTCCTTCTGGGCCCCTTCTAAAGATGATGTGATCTGAGCAATTAAGAGTGAGGAGCCATCCGGATTTGTAAGGGTGCAAACCCGTAATACCAGTGCTCAGGAGAGAGGGGTGGCAGCTCTCAGAGCGAGGCTACCCTGGTCTGCGTAGCATTTCCAGGACAGCCAGGGCTACATAGTGAGACCCTCTCAAGGCAAAGCAAGCAAGCAAACAAAAAAGGGTAAGGATGGCAGGCCCAACAAGCAAAGAGCCCAAACATACTATTGGGCTGATAACTGTTCTAGCTGTTCCCTTTAAACCTCAATAAGTAAGTAACACACACACACACACACACACACCAGCTCCCCTGACTCCACAGCAAAGTTCACAGCTGTGTAAATATATAACCATGCACACCAGCCCATCTTCTGTTTTCTGTGGGGTGGGGTCTTTATGTGCCATCACAGTCCTGATGGTCATATGGCAAGCTTTGGGAATGCCAGAACTTCCTTGAGATTTCTGACTGGTTGGCTCAAGGAGCACAGGCTGAGACGCCTCTGCTGTAACCTGCCCATCTCAGGATGCCTGTTGTTAACAGGTTAACGGGGTTGATCTGAGGAGCTGCAGCCATGAGGAAGCCATCACAGCCCTGCGGCAGACCCCCCAGAAGGTGCGGCTGGTGGTATACAGAGATGAGGCACAGTACAGAGATGAGGAGAACTTGGAGGTGTTCCTTGTGGGCCTACAGAAGAAGTCTGGCCGAGGACTGGGCCTGAGCATTGTTGGGAAAAGGTAAGAACAGACTATTCAAGTCAGGGACAGCCTTCCCCTTCAATAGATGGGACTGAGGCATCTAACAGTGAGGAAGAAAACCTCCTGTCAAGTAGTGATGGGGTTTCTGAGGTATGTCCTGTTGAGATACAGCTGGCCCCAGCGGACACACCTGATCCCAGCTGGGCTGCTGAGTCTGCACTCGGCTCAGCAGGAAGGATTAGAATGGCCACCAAGGGCAGTATTTGTTGGTTTCTCTCACACATGAGGGTGCAGAGCAACTGCGCATACAGAACCGAGCTGCTTTCCGTTTACCTGGGAACATCCCAGGCAGAGAATGGTGGTTCTGTTGTGTTATTCGCTGAGACAGGGTCTCACTATGTAGCCTAGGCTAATCTCAAATTCACAGCAGTCCTGTGTCAGCTGCGATGACTGCTGTGCCCCACCATACACAATGCTTCCTTTACTCTCAGGTGATAGATGGATGAGTGATCCCAAGTCGCCATCTGGATTGCAGGTACAGTTCGAAAGAACAGTTATGCTCCTTAGCATGAAACCTTCCATTATAAAGGATTAGATGTATTTCTTAAGTTGAGATATTTATTGCACATTTTTTGCAGTAACTAAGAAATAGAAAAAAAAAAAAAAAAACAATACCTCATCAATAGGTCTCCAATTGTCAGAGCATAGTCTAAGATGGAATAGAGCATGGGGATTCTGAGTGTTTGTGAGAAAACTCCAAGAAAACAAGAATCTTGTGACCCTGGTTTCTTCAAAACACCGAATTATTCTTGGAATGTGTTTGTGCTCCTCGTATGTGTAGAGGAAAGAAGTGAGTTTACTTCACCTGTAGTTATTCACATGCCTCAATGGAAAACTATGTGCAGCTTGTCCTTACTCACGTGAGTCCTCCTAAGCCACAGAGCACACTTGCCTGATGCTCTGAGAACAGTTGGCTGTAAGCGAGCTCATGCAGCATCACAGAATAGTATACGCCGTAATAGTATACGTGCTGCAGGGGCTCATGAAGGTCGGTAGAACAGGGAGATAGCCCAATTCCAGACCACATAGGTAGCATATGTGTGACCTGTCTTCAGCTTGGAGCATATCTTCATTAAAAAAAAAAAAAATCAGTTGTCATGGTGTATATTTGGAAAAAGAAAATAACACAAAAGCAAGGTAGCTCACAACTGTAATTCACACCTCTGGAAGCTGAATCACCTCAACTTTGATGATAGCCCGGGCTACAGAGTGAGTTCTAGGACAGCCTGAGCTACAACAGTTAGAACCTGTTGTTAAAGAGAGAAAGAAAGAAGGCTGGAGTTACAGTGTGGGTGCTGAGACCATAACCCAGGTCCTCTGCAGGCGCAGTAGACGCTCTTAGTGCTAAGCCACCTCTCTAGCTCCAAGATATATACACGTTTGAAGTGCTTCAATTTTGAAACAGATTTATTCAGCAAATAAAAGACTGAAAATAAGAGGGTGGGGCACGTAGCTCTGTTGGTAGACTGCTTACCTATCAAGCATGAAGCTCTGGGTAGATTCTCAGCACTCCGTCAAACAGTCTTGGAAGTACAGGTCTATGATGCCAGCACTGAGGAGGTGGAGGCAGGAAGATCAGAAGTTCAAGGCCAGCCTGCCCCACAGGAGACTAGAGGTGGTGGGCCATAATCAAGGAAATACAAAAGGACAGAGATTAATGGTGGAACTGTTGGGGGATTTTGAGAAGGTTCAGTGGGTTAAGGCAGGAGCTATCAAATTGATAACTCGTCTAAGATCCCTGGGACCCATGTGTTGAAAGAAAAGTACAACCCTCCCATATGCTATCCACTGACCTCCATGTCCATGTCCACATAAACGTGTGAATACATTAACATAAATACATGAATAATGCATGAGTGATTTCATTTGTTAAGAAAAGGAAGTTAGGGGGCTAAAGAGATGGCTCAGAGGTTAAGAGCACTGGCTGTTCTTCCAAAGGTCCTGAGTTCAATTCCCAGCAACCACATGGTGGTTCATAACCATCTATAATGAAATCTGGTGCCCTCTTCTGGCCTGCTGGCTCACATGAAGGCAGAATACTGTATAAATAATAAATAAATTAATTAAAAAAGAAAAGGAAGTTACTCTTCTCTAGGAGAATCGCTTGCTCACTCATTCTGTGTGGGGTGCTGGAATCACCCCAGGGCCATGCTCACACCAAAAAGCTCACACCAAAAGTCAGCCATGGGGCTGTAATCCAGGCCACAAACCTGCCTTGTTAAAAAGTAAATGGTGGTGCACACCTTTAATCCCAGCACTCTGGAGGCAGGGGCAGTCGAATCTCTGTGAGCCCCAGGCCAGCCTGGTCCACAAAGCAAGTTCGAGGATAGCCAGGGCTACACACAAAGAAACTCAGTCTCAAAAAAACCAAAAATGGTAAAAAGTAAATGTAAATTTCCATTTTGCTTCACTAAAATCATCACACACACACACACACACACACACACACACACACACACACACACAGTGCTGGAATCACAGATACATACCACCAATAAAAAGAAAAGCTTGGTAGGCAAAGATGGATGCACAGTGCATAGCACTAGTAGGCGTAATTGAAACGTGAAGTTTATTATTTAGAAAGTTAGTGGATGGCACTGGACTTAATAGATTGGTTTTAGAATGTCTGATTTTAGATCTTTAGTTTTTATAAAGTAAGGTCCAGTTGTAACTAATAGCTAACTGTGCCAATCCCACAATGCTTGTGACCCTAACAGGAGTGGAAATGGAGTGTTTATATCTGACATTGTGAAAGGCGGAGCCGCAGACCTGGATGGCAGGTTGATTCAAGGAGACCAGATCTTGTCTGTAAATGGAGAGGACATGAGACATGCCTCACAGGAGACAGTGGCCACCATCCTCAAGGTGAGTCCCTGAGCAGCTTCCCACCTAGCTACAGTGACCAATGCAACAGCTGGCCAGGGCTACCTTGGTTGGAGGTTTTTTGCTCTGTTCTTACTAGAAATATAAGACCTGATTGTTCCAGATGACCAGGAACAGATTTAAAGGAAAGCTTTTGTGCTGACTAAGCAAGCAGAAAGACCTGCCTGGGGATTTCGAGGCAGGTTCTCATGGTACTGAGTGTTCCACCTCTCACACCTGTCGGTAAACCAGCTCACTCACTGTGTGCTCTCCTAGACCATGGGATCTACCCCTCCCCTCTGCATTAACCAGGCCCAGCTTTGATGGCCAGAAGGCGACGCTAAAGCTCACCCAGACTGTTTCTTCATTTCACGAGTGAAAACAGTCACACAGCTCTGGGTGGGTTGCCCCCACTGTGGGCACCAGCGAGCTGTGGAAGTCTGCAGCCGAGACTTCTCAGCTGAGGGGCTCTGCTGCCTGCACCTCCTTCCCCTTTGCTTGCAACCAGTGGATCTAAAAAGCTACTGGAGACGCTTGTACAGACAGATGGGGTTTGTTTAAATAACCGGGGTTCCTGGTCCAGTCGGCTCTCTGCAAAGGAGAGCCTGGCTTTGTCAACTGTCTCCTGTTTGATTTCCAGCTCTGCTCTTTACCTCTTGACTGCTGTGTTCTTTCCAAACACTTTCATCAGAAGGGAGAAGGAAGGGAAGAAAGGCAGATTGGTATCAAATCTATGCAATGCATTTGAAGGGCCGTGGATGAAGATGCATAGTTCCTGTTTTGATTGGGTTTTGGATGACTGGCTCTCCTCTTGCCCGTTGGCCTAGTTACCCTCCAGCATGCCTTGGCCACAGTGATGACTGCAGGCCCTGCTTTGGTGTTTTAGATCATAGATGCTGCTGTGTTTCACTTCCGTCTTTTCTTGTCTTCCCAAGTGCGTCCAGGGCCTTGTGCAGCTGGAGATTGGAAGGCTCCGAGCCGGTTCCTGGGCCTCCTCAAGGAAGACCTCGCAAAACAGCCAGGTTGTTGATGCCTCCCCAGCAGCCTCCCTCACTCCTGTGCGCCCCCTGGGGGAAAGTTCTCATTTCATAAGCGATCTTTAGAAGTGATGTCTCATGTGCCACATACTCAAACAAACCAGTGTGTTTTCATGTGTGTGAAATAAAAATGAAAGGTGGGGTGGAAATGCATTAAGCCCTACATTTTTCTCTCCTTTATTGCCTATTAAGTGTTCTCTTAGAACCATTTTTTTTCTCACTATTCTATATTGCCTGTGCACACATGTACACAGCTGTGTTTATTTTAAAAAGGAAAAAAAAAAAGAGGTAACATCTGGTGGCAATTTGACCCTCATTAGCACAACATTGTTCTATTCATCCAATTAAACATTGCTATAAAGTTAACTTGTGAATAGCCACTCGCACATGCTGAGGGCAATTAATGATGTACTCCTAGGAGAGCAAAGTATGAGGGTTTCTCCTGTGGCATGGAGGTATTAGTAGCTGACATTTTGTGAGTTAGCAAATATATTTATTTGCAAGACTGATGTCAGTACCACCTTTTTAATGACGCATTTTCACGGTAATTTGTGTGTATGTGTTATAACGGCTGACACACTCGGTGACTGCTCTTTAGTCCCACTTGGACATGATTCAGCTCTAGAAATTTACATGTTATGCACAGCCCCTTTTTTGAGGTCAAAGTGTGGGTTTTAGTCCTTTCCCGGTTGCCTTTCAGCCACAGCCTCTCCATAGCCCAAGGTGCCCTGGATTTGTGGTTGGCATAGCTGCTCCTGCAAAGCTGCTGCTTTGCCTCGTTAGTGTTAGAAAATGGGCAGCAGAAGCTACACTGAGGGCCTGTGAGTCAGCAGTTACATGCACTTTTGACCAAACCTGATGACCTGAATTTAATCTCTGAAACTCTGTGGTACAAGGAGAGGTTGACTCCCAAAGTTGTCCTCTAACCTCTGTACCCATGCTATAGCATGTGCTTCTAAACACACGTGTACACACACACCAAATACAATAAAAGAATTGTAAATATATGTCGTTGATCAGACAGGGCCACACACTAGCTGCTTTGACTTCAAGAATCTTCAGAATGGAGTGTGGAGCGATGGCTCAAGGGTTAAGAGCACTGACTCTTCCAAAGCACCCGGGTTCAATTCCTAGCACCTATATGGTGCTCACAACTGTCTTCAACTCCAGTTCTAGGGAATCTGTCACCTATACTCACCCAGAGATAGGCACATACATGTAAATAAATTTAAAAAGAGAGAGAGAGAGAGAGAAAGAAAATGTTCAAAACAATCAAATCTAATCCACGTTGTTAAATATGCATTCCCCCTTCCACCCCCGGCTTCTATAATTAGCCGTAAACACAGCGCTGCTCATTCCACAAGTGAATAGGCAGGGATTCAGTGGAGACTGAAGTCCGAGGTGGTAGCTGCAGTCAGCGGCCCCAGGCAAGCTTCTCTGCTGTCAGAAGACTCATCTGTGTTGAATGGTTCCATTAAAGCCCCGTACACAGGAGACCAGGGTACAGAGTGAACCATGCGAGAGGTAAAACTGTTCTTCCCCGTTGACTAATAGCTGAGGTGGTGGATGGCTGGATTTCTGACCCCCCTGAGGGATGTACAGAAGGGTTATCATGATTCATAAAGTTCACAGTTGAATCCAGGGCCACATGCATGCTAGGCACATGCTCTAGCCACATTCCCAGCTCTAGATTCTTTTAAATACCTCTTGCTTATAATCGTATGACAGGTTGGTTTTTAATAATGGTTAAGTGTAACTGCCAGTTCATAGATTTCTATCCCAAACACCATATAAACTGGACATGGTTGCACATGCCTGCCATTCTAATACCCAGCGGGTTAGAGAGAAGAGTATCACAAGTTCAAGGTCATGTTCAATTTGATAGCAAATAAGATAAGGTCAGCTTAGGTTACATGGAGCCCTGTGCCACATCAAAGAAAAGTGAGTCTGTCCTAAAGTACACAGATGTCTACAGCCTATATGAAAATGAACTTTAAAGGAGGAATTAATTGATGAATAGGGGATATGTGATAAAGAACGTGTAAAGGCTAGAGAGTTGGTTACTCACGGAGAGGACCCAGGTTCAGTTCCCAGCACCCGCATCATGGCTCATGACCACCCGTAACTCCAGTTCCAGAAGATCTAGTGCACTCTTCTGGGTGCTTCAGGCTGGCACATAAGGTGCACGTACGTACGTACATGCAAGCAAAACACATGTTTAAAATAGAAGGAAATTCCAAATCTTTTAGTTTTATGAAGGAGAATCCCAAATGCTTGCCCGGGGTTAGGGTCCTCTGGCTCCACTTGCTTAGTGCTGGGATTATATGTGAGTGTCATGGAAATGTAGCAGATTTAATTATGGCATCTAGGTATATCTGTGATTTTTAGAATTTTTCCGCTTACTTGAAATCTCTTATTTAAGAAATATTTAAATGTTTTAAAGGTTCTTCCACAGTTAAATAAATGATCATTTAAGCTGTAGTGGGTGCAGCACCTGCCTGGTACACATAAAGTCCTGAGTTTGATCCTTAGCACCACAAAAAGAAAAAGATAGCAAGACCCTGTTTCAGAAACAAAACACATTATAAGATACCAAATGGTAATAGTGATGTGTCTTAGCTTAAGTTTTCATGACAGTTGGTCATAGCAAGCTTGCTATGGGTAGACAGCTTACTAATTGGGTAGAACCATTTTAAATGGCATGGCCTCCATATCATTTATAGCCTCCTTGGCTAATGGGTAGGATTTTGGATAGTCATTCCCCATAAATGACTATATATTATAATTCTCAAATATCTATTTATGTGAGGGAAACTATTAAATAACAGTATAGCAACTTGAATTGAACCATTTCTGTCTGTAAGACAATGTTTGGAATATAAAAGTAAGATACCCTTAAAATCAGGTCTTTCCCTTGATATCGCTGCTTTCTCTAGAAGTCCATTTTCTGTTGATTGAGCTTCACACCTTCAGCTACACAGAACATGGGGTAGAGTGTAGTTTGGTTAATGGGGGGAGGGTCATGTTGCTCCCTCAAAGGACAGAGGCAGTCACTGAAGGCTGTAACACTGCAGCATGCTAGGAGAATGCTTTGATTTCATGTGCAGCAAAAACAGCTATAATTACTGACTTTCTGCGTAACTGAGATGAAGCATCCGCGAGTGGAGAACACAAAGGAACAGGGGTTTAGAGGGATTTGGGGTGGTGAGGGGGAACATAGTGACTGTTTTCCTTCTTGACTCCTTCAGTATGTCCTGTAGATGGCTGGTGACCTCAGCCGCTGCGGACTCTGATGAAGGGTATGTCTCTAGGCCCATGATAGTGCCTGCGCACAAGTGACCACAGTGTCTCCTTTTCAGGGGGATCAGCACAGTGCACACAGCAACTGTCGGCCTTCCTTTGCCCCAGTCATCACCGGCCTACAAAACCTGGTTGGCACAAAAAGAACTTCGGATCCTCCCCAGAAATGTAAGTTCGAGGCCAGCCTAAGCTGCTTAACATGGCCTATTTCCAGAGGAAAGGGAGGTGGGGGCCGCACAGATCCCATGAGCAACAGAAAAGCAAAAACTGAGTGTGTCAGAAAGTGCAACTATTTACAGAGAGAGCATGACTACATGACTGGTAGCTAAAGGAGGTGAGAAGTGCACATGCCCTGGAGAAAGAGTGGGGCCTCTTGGGTGAGGGTTCTCTTTGAGTAGGGCAGGAAAATGCACAATGAAACGCAAACCCAGCTTTGAGTAACAATGTTATAGGCCATTTCTGCTGCAGCCCATCAGCTTTGGTCAGACCAAACAATTTTGGCCACATGTGTCCACACTGGGACACTGGCCCTGAAGACTCAGTTGGGTCCTGGTGGTGAGGAAGGGTGTACCCTGCTTGCTTTAGTCTCCTTTCTTAAAAAAAAACAACAAACTCAAAAAATGCTGCTGTCATTCCGGGAGTATTACACTTATGCGTCTTCCCTTGATTCATAAGCATTAATGAACAGTCTTGCCTCCTTATTCCTAGGCACAGAGGTGGGACCGAGGACTGTTGAGATAACCAGAGTAAGTCAGATATTGTTTTTAATCTACTGTGTACATTTTACCTCTTAATGTTATGTCGACTTATATGTTCTTCCAAGTTAGTATCGGAAATACGTGACAGAAATAGACTTTAAAAGAGAGACTGAAACATGAAAGTAAACATTGGGAATTTTTTAGTATATCCTTCTCAATAGTGCGTGTGTTTAAATTTCACACAACAAAAAGTATGTTGGACCTTCTCTTGTACCTCATCTCATTACCATGCTACATGAACATGAAGCCATGTCAGCATTCCTGACAGCACAGAACATGATTGTTACTGATTATATAATTTTCACTCCATTGTCTGGATGCGCCTCGAACTTTCTTAACCAGTTTCCGCTCATTAAACAACTAGCATAACTCTTTTTATTTTCTTCAATTTATTTTTATTTTATGTGTATCAGTGTTTTGACTACATGTATGTCTGTCTGTGCACTATGTGCATGCGTGGTGCCCACAGAGCCAGAAGTGGGTCATGGGTCCCCTGGAGCTACAGATGGCTGCAAGCCACCACATGTGGCCTGGGAGTTGAACCCTCTGCAAAGGCACCAAGTGCTTTAACTGTTCAACATTTCTCCAGCCCCCATGTTTAATTTTTACCTTATGTAACAAACATTGTTACATGTACACCTTTGCCTATATCATGAGTAATCACCTCAGGATTAATTCCTAGAAAAGAAGCCATCAAATCCGAAGCCATGCTTGGGTCTGGGGTGCAGCTTGGTTGCAGAGCACTTGGCTAGCCTATGTGAGGCCATGGAGTCCATCTCTAGCTGTGAGGGTGCTTCTTCTTAAAGGCTTTTATGTGTTGGACTGCTCGTTTGAAAAGATTGTGTGAGGTGTGTTCCAGTTCATCACATTTTCAAGCACTGATTTCCAGCTCACGTGTGATATATGGAAGGTCAGAAAACAGACTTCTGGTTTCATCTCCAGGACCGTAAACTTGAGGCTCAAGAGTAGTGATAGGATTGCAGCCCTGTTGTGTGCAGAGTAACCAACCACAACGAGGCGGGCGATTCCCACCCAGCTCGGCTCTCTGGGCTCAGTCATGGCTTGTCTCCACCACTTGCTCTTGGGCTGTGTTTCTTTGATAAAGCTGCCTAACAGAATATCAGAGGCTGGGTGTCTTCAGCAGATGTTCATTTCCCGTACTCTTAGAAGCTAAAAGTTCAACATTAAGGTGAAGGGTAGCCTTCTCTGAGCTCTCCTTGGCTTGCAGATGGCTGCCTTTCTGTGGTAGCCTTGTGTGACCTTTCTTTGTGTGTTCACCATTCTGGAGTCTCTCCTGTTGCATAGCCTCTCCAATGAGGATTCGCTCTGGACTGGGTTAAGCCCACTCTAGCAGTCTCATTCTACAGACTGTCTCAAAGTGGAGTTATGTTCTGAGAAACTAGAACTTGGAGCTTCAGTACTAAACTTTGATGGGACACAACTTGTCTACAACATCAGCTCACTGATCTTTCATTGAGTCATCTTCAGTTTTTCTGTCTATGGCATGGGCTTACAAAACGAACTCATATCATAAACCAGTACTTTGTATGGATCAATTGCTGACCCTGGTGCCTCATGCCTGTCATCTCTACATTTTGGAGGCTAAGACAAGAGGATTGCCATAAGTTCAAGACCAGCCTGGCCTACAGAAACCCTGTTTTAGAAAACCAGAAATAAATCAGATAAGGCATAGAGAGTACGTAATTCTAAGTCCTTCCTGAATGCCGGAAAGAGGCATTTGTCCTTTCAGGCTGTAATTGAACCAAGCCTACTTGTCCTGAGTCTTTCCACTATAGTGGCAACTCAAATGCTCTGTGACAAAGAAGTCAAACTCACCAATAGTAAACACAGTTTCAGGTAAAAATGGATGCAGTTAAGGCCAAAGTATTCCAAGATTTTGAAAATATTTTATATTATTTCTAGCCATTTTATTACTTTCTCTTTACAGGTTTTTATAATAGGCCTGCTCATATCCAACCTACTTTTTCATGGTCCACTCACAGAGTTCACAATAAAATATCTCTTAGGAACCGCACAGATGGTTTAGCAGTTGAGACCACTGGCCACCATTCCAGAGGACCTGGACTCGATTCCCAGCATTGGCTTACAACAGTTTATAACTCCAGCTACAGGACATCTGTGGCTGTTTGATGGAGAACAGCCCCGTGGGCTCATAGATTTGAATGTTTAGTTCCCCATTGGTAGAGTGTTTAGGAAGGATCAGGAAATGTGGCCTTCATGAAGAAGGTATTGTCACTGAGGGTGGTCTTTGAGGTTTCCAAACCTTACAGCAGGCCCAGTGTCACTGTCTATCTGCCTTGTGCCTGTGATAAGACACAAGCTCAGCTACCTCTCCAGCGTCCTGCCTGCCTGCCTGCCACCATGCTCCCTACCGTGATGGTCATAGACTCACCCTCTGAAATTGTAAGGAAGCCCCCAGCTAAATACTTTCTTCTGTAAGTTACCTTGGTCATGTTGTCTCTTCACAGCACTCTAAAAGTAACTCAAGGGCAGGGCAGGATTTAACACCCTCTTCTGGTTCCTTTCAGACCCTGAACACATGTGGTATACAGGTGGACATGCAGGCAAATCACCCATACATGTAAAATCTAAATTAACATCTCTTGGATTTTGCAGAGAGAGCATTGCCTATTTATTGATGCATTTGGAAGGTATCAATTGGACACAAATGCTCTGAAAACAGGATAGAAGCCCCCTGGACGTGGAGCATTGCAGTTATTTTAAATTATAGTTATAACAGGGCAGCACTAATGATAACAGAATGACTCATCTGTTCACGTCATCTGGGATGTGGGGTGTGTGTTTGTGTCACATGCATACACACACCACAGCTCACATGTGGAAGTCACAGCGCAAATGAGTTCTTAGCGTCCATCTTGCTGGGTCAGGGTCTCTTTAGTTTCTGCAGCTACACTGCTTACTCCAGTCTTGCAGGTGCTTCTCCTATCTCTGCCTCCCAGCTCTCTGTAGCAGGGCTGGGATTACAGGGATTGAACTCAGGCCAGGCTTGGGTTTTAATCTTCTGAGCCACCTCCATGGCCCTAAGGTAGAGAGTTTGCCTTGTTGGTGACATTTTATCTGGTTTGGGCTATAGTCTTTAAAGTGGGAGCTTTGTGCATACTAAGGCATGTTCTGCCATGAGCTCCACCCAGCCATACAAGTCTGTCGTTAAGTCATTCATATGGACTTTCCAAGACGTTCTTTCTGCTTTCCAGCATTATTAAAGTGTAATTAATGAACACTAAGCTGCCGTGTTTTTGCTCAGTTTCTTTTGTTTTAATTCTTAAGACAGAGTCTCATTGTCTAGCTCTGGCTGTCCTGGAACTTTCTCTGTAAATCAGGCTGACCTAGAACTCACAGAAATCCCTTTGCCTCTGCCTCCAGAGTTCTGGGAACATGACCTTCTGGCTCCGTGTAAATATGCAGGTCCTTTACCTCATAGAGTAGTGCTTACGTACTCTGTTGTTCTGTTTCCATTGCTGGGATCCAGCCAGGGACCTGCCACAGGCCATGCTGTCTGTATAAATAGGGTTACGGTGTGTGCTTTCAACTGCCCCTACATATTCTACGGAACATTAGGGGGAAAATGGCTCCATCTTCCTGCGTGCTGACAAGCTGAAGATTTTATCCTGGACCTCGTGACTGTCAAGTTGTGCAACTCTGAAGAGTAATGGTGCTCATGCTTTCGCAGGCAGTCGGCCCAGTTAGACTGAGAGGGAAGTGTCTGTCTGCTTCTGGGATGATTCAAATCAAAGTTTAATAGTCAAAACTTTTGGTATGCTGGTTGAAGGCTCTTCTACACTTAGGAAATTCGAGCTGAGACTGTGCATTCCATGTATGTATGCTCAGGATTGAGGGCCTCTTTCTGACTCCACTCTGCATTTCCTCCTTTATCATCTAGCAGCCAGGTCTGCCTTTTGGTTCTTCCAGCTCAGAGGATGGGGTTTGCATCAAAATGTCAGCTCCCAGTTTGACTGGGGCTCTCCCTCAGAGCACAAATGTAACACATATGCACAGAGGCATGCACTCACACACCTGCACGTATACGCTTGAGCATGCTAACACACACACAGAAGTGCATGATCATGAGCACACACAGAGATGTGGTGAGACTGGGCCACATAGCCATGCTGTCTCTTCTCCAGATTTTCATTTTTCACTACAGTTTCCGTCTCTTGTGGTTATAGAAACTACAGGCCGTTGTTATTTGCATTTTGACAAGACTTATAGTCAAGGCGCAGTAGATAGACTTGGTATGAGTGCCAGCCTGCCAGAACTGCAACTTGTCATTTGTTGTTTCAGTCATTTTAAAACTATTAACCCTCCTGTGATAGGGGGAGGGGCGGGACGAGAGCCAGATCTCTACACAAGGGTCCATCTTTGCAAAGATTTCCGCTATTTTACTTCCCTCTCCAAACTGTTGTCACAACAGTGGGCACCCTCTAAGAGCCTTTGTTTAATGCAGCCATGCAGCTCTTTTGAAGCCAAGTGTGTTTGTTCACACCCAGAACATGATCTGTGTGGCAGTTTAATCATAAACACCATATGAGAACACACTTGCCAAGCCTGCGTCAAATTGGCTGCTCCACTGAGGGGTAGTGAAGGCTTTTGTTTTTTAATTTACTGCTGCTATTGGCTCTTTATTGAGCCTCTTCTGTAGGCCAGAAGCACTGTGTTATCCTACTTCTACTCACATTTTCACTGTGCCCTGTGCAGTTGACTTCCCGTCTTGTGCATAAGGCTCACAGAGATGGACTTCTCTGAGGGCCCACGGCTGCCTGACTGCAGCAGGTGAAACAGCCCTTTTTAATGCCCTGCACTTAGCTCTCATCTTACCCTTGCCTCCCTCATCACGGAGAGTTTTTGTTCAAAGCAATCTGAGGACAGACAGTCTGTCTATGTTATTAAACATGCAGGCCTTCTGTTTTCTCGCTTTGTAGGAGCTCAGTGATGCCCTCGGAATCAGTATCGCTGGAGGGAAAGGAAGTCCTTTAGGAGATATCCCGATATTCATTGCCATGATTCAGGCCAATGGAGTGGCCGCACGCACCCAGAAGCTTAAGGTAAATACCAGGCAGAAGGCTGACAGCATGTGTTGGGGTGGGGAAGAATGTTGTAGCCATAGGGACCTTGTTTAAAGTTGGAATTACAAAAGCTGTAAGCCACCCATGCTGAGGGCAGAATACATTAGCTAGATGGTGGACCTGAAATTCATTAGTCCCTGAACACACACGCACAAAAAAAAAAAAAGTTTTTATCAAAGCTTCAGAGAGAAAGATAGAATCACAGTCCTTTCCAACCCTCTCAAACCATTTAGCATCTCATTTACCCAAAATTGCTTTTTTAACTCAGATTTGGTCCTGGAATCTTCCCCCAACTGAAAGTATCCACATTTTAATGATTTTTTTCTATTGTTCTTTACTCTTAACTGAGGTATAAAAATTAGGCAAAAAAAATACTTGGCCTCCTCATCAGAGCTTCACTGAACAGTTAATTTGTACACCCCACTCTTTGTGGCCACCAAAATACAAAAGTGACCTGCAGTGCCTTTTAATAATCAAATCTGACCCCCTTCTTGTCTCTCTGATTGGGCTGCATTTAGGGGAAGCCATAAAAATTCCCCACACACCACAGAAGCCAGCTCTCAGCAACAAGGCAGATGGGAAATATAACTTACGAAGAGTTTTAGTCATTCTTCTCAAATTTAATTTTTTGTAATGATAGTGATTTTCTCCCACTTTTGTCCTTCCAGGTTGGAGATCGGATTGTGAGCATTAATGGGCAACCTCTGGACGGACTGTCTCACACAGACGCAGTTAATCTACTGAAGAATGCCTTCGGGCGCATTATCCTGCAGGTACTGTGATCAATGGAGAACCAGCTGGGAGAGGCAGATAAGTGGTGGCAGAAAAGATGGAGCCGAGCGTCACTGGCAGTAGGCATCACCAGCCAGCAGGATGCTTGCTGATGTGAATTATGAAGGTTGAAAGCGAGAAATTATTATTTTTATTCAGAAATTCTTTAATGCCACCCATACAGGCAGGAGGAGGATTATACGAAAGTATAACAAGGGGAGAAAAATTACTCTCAGCTTCATGTGATAAATCAACAAGGCTTTTAGCTTCCAGCATTCTTTTGTAAATTGAAGTTTGCTAGGAATAGGAAATGATTTCCTTTCTTATATCCAAAGACTTCCTGGGCAGCCCGTGCGCTGTTTCCTGTCCCTTTAAAGGCAGAGAAAAATACAATGCTCTTTCTCCTATGCCATGAATGGTTGCCAGCGCCCTGCAACTCTTACTGCATGGTAGTCATCAATTAAGGCAGAGAATTATTGATCAGCTGCAGCCCCACGAGTATTATCCAGAAGCACAGAGAAATACAGGGGGAAGTAAGAGCAAAATGTGCTGTTAATTTCCCCTCCCTCCATTTGAGCCCTTCCCTTGTCTCTAAGCCTGATGCCATGCAGAGACAGGAGAGGCGGCATGCTGGCAGCGACCTTCTTTAACAAGTGCCCCTAAATTGAGGGTTTATCATCACCATACTGCTCAAAAGGTAGTATAAAATGATTCACAGGTAAAAAGAATAAAACCCCACAGCCAGCACTCAGATAATTTTAGCCTTAGCATAAGAAGACTGAATGGAAAACCCATGATGTTAGAGAGAAGTGATTTGCGGTGCTTAGCTCTGAGATCTCAGTGGTCTAGGTCAGAGTGACAAAGCGTTTAGCAAGGTAGACGGGACTGGGTTCGTAAAACACTGTCTGTGGCTTCAACGGAGTTGCTGCAATAGGCCAGATATTATTTGGGGCCTTAAGTGTCTGCTGAACACCAACCAAAACAGTTCGTGGAGTTCCCCCGCACTGCTTCTACTTGGTTGCACATTATCCTCACGTGGGGTGGAAATTTCTGGTCATAGCTACTCACATTCCTGCCTCCGGAGCTTTGCTTTTAGTGTGCCCATCCTTGGAGTTCTCACTGACCCTAGAGTCACTTGTTACAAGCTCACCTCTTGAGTCCCAGCTGCTAGTCACAGGAGGCATGACAGAGCAGAACCTCTGTGGGAACCTGAGCAAGAAAAGGGGCTTTCCCTCAGTGTCTGGTATTGTGGACAGTGGCCATATCTATAATCGCACATCTCGGGACACTGAGGCAGGAGGATCAGGAGATGAAGGCGAGTCTTGGTGCTATAGGAAGTTAGACTGAAATCTTGTCCCACACCTACAAAGTTCACAAAGGTAACACTTCATTCTCGCTGAAGTGATCCTTTCAACATATTTTTAAAAATATAGTTCATACAAGTGGCCTAGGGCGATGGCTCAGCAATTAAGAACATGAGCTCTTCTTCTGAAGGACCTTGGTTCAGTTCCCAGCACCCACATGGTGGTTCACAGCCTATAACTCCAGTTCCAGGGGCATCTGGCGTCCTTTGGCACTGCGTGCACTCGGTGTGTACAGACATATGCGCAGGCAAACACCCATATAAGTGAGATGAAATTACAAAATTTTAAATGTTTTCTTTATAAAGTGACAAATGTACTTTTAATTGATTTCGGATAAAAGCTATAGAAGAAGAGTGGTTGTTTCTGTCCACCCTGCTAGAGAACTGTTTCTATTTCAAGCAAGTTTCTCTCAGTGTCGCCGGGGCTGGTCTTTGATCCTTCTGCCTCAGCCTCCACAATCATGGGATTACAGAACTGTGACACCACGGTATACTCACAGTTAACAGCCTGTTTCTGAAAGAGGTCTTTTTTTTTTTTTTTTTTACTGTTTCAGTGTTTTAAAAAGCAAGTGACATTTTATTTCTTTTGTGAATCATGTTAGTTGCTGTTTTTGTTTTCTCGTGTGTACTCTGAACAGGTAAATGGACCCTCTGAGGAATCCGTAGTTGAGATATTCACACTAAAGAATATGGAGCTTATATCACTTCAGGCACAGTAGACAGTTTACCAGTGTCCCCTCTCAAGTACCTTCTACTCACATGGTGTTTGTTTTAAAACAATGTGGGACACAATTACTGGACAGCTGACTCATCACTCATGACTCATCAGATAGGCCACTAGCAGGAAAGTTAAAAAAAAAAGAAAAAGGCCAGGTAATTGTGCCTGGTGATATATATGGAATAGAGATGTGTATATATGTATAGTTTTTGTATGCGTGTGTACAGGACAAAGGTCGTTCCTCCGTCACATTCCACCTTCAGGCAGCCCCAGCCTGTCTCCATCTCTCCATGACAGGGATTATAGACACACACCACTTCTTGTTTTTGACATGGATGCCAGAGAAGGAGCTCCGGTCTTCGTGCCAAAGAGGCTGGCACCTTATGGGCTGAGCCATCTCTCCAGCCCATGGGAAAAGACTTTCAGTGTCTTACACAAAGCCATCAGCAAGTGCTATTGGCCTAGGAAACATGACAGTCTGGGTCAGAAGACTGCAGAGTGGAGAATGAAGAGGCAGCTAGCACTTCCGGAAGCTTGCCATCTCTAAGTATAAGAAGAAATAGGTGCCTGTGCCTCTGTAGGCTGGGGGTGCTTATCAATAGCTCGACTGAGCAGCTGAGGTTGACTTGAAATGTTCCTTGTTTTATTTGCTTCTTGAAATTTGGGAATTTGTCCTGCTCAGTTTCTTTACATATAGAATGACTATAAAACTATTTTAAATTCAGGAGCCACACTCTGTGCTAGGAAAAAAAGTTTGTTTCGTTTTCGTTTTAAGATTTATCTTATTTTTTTTACTTTCATATAAGTGTGTGTGTGTCCTATGTGTGTCTCTCTGTATGGCTTTGTCGTTGTGTCTTTGTGAGTAAATGCCACATGTGTGCAGGCGCCCAAGGAGGCCAGAAGTGGACATCAGATCCCTGGGAGGTGGAGTTGTGAGCCACCTGTTGTAGGTGCTGGGAAATGAGCTCAGGTCCTGTATAAGAGCAGCAAGCTCCCTTTAACCATGAACCATCTTGCCAGCCCACTAGAAACAAAAACGTTTCTAATTTTATACTTTTCTTTAAGGACATAAAGGGAGGGGGGGGAGACATGTCAGAAATTTCTGTCATGTGGAACTTGTGGATACGGGCTTCAGTGGGTGGGTGGATTTAGGGCAATACTAATTAAACAGATAACCCGGCTGGCGTCACTGTGTAGCTAAGGCTAGCCTTGAACTCCTGACCCCAGTGTCCCATCTTTTCTTCAGGGTACTGTACTTGTGATATACTCTTCCTCATGGCCAAGAAAGCATGTTGCATGTGCTAGAATTGAGGGCAAACAGGAGCCACGTGGACTTTGCAGCATTGGCTCCCTTGCTGCCCAACACACTGTACTTATTAGATACTGGTTGACGAAACGAAATAAAATGGACGAGACAGATCACAAAGCCTCCGAACAAGTTTGGAGATGAGAAGAAAATCTTTAAATCAAAGAGTTAATAATTAAGAGATTATATATGAAATAGTTCTTCAGTCGCCCCTCAGGGATGTCCTCCAGAGCTTGTGGAACTGAGGCCCCAGTGGAATTCCAGAACTCGGGAGACAGGCAGGTGGAGCTCTGTGAGTTTTAGGCCAGCCTGGTCTACAGAGTGAGTTCTAGGACATCTAGGGCTAAAACAGAAACCCTGTCTCAAAAAGCCAAAAAAAAAAAAAAAAAAAAAAAGTTCCTAATGATAGAAGGCTTATTAAGATAACTTAGAGAAAGAGAGCCGGGCACAGAGGAAGGCAGATCTCTGTGAATTATTTAAGGCCAGCCTGGTCTACAAAGCGAGTCCAGGACAGCCAAAGCTACACAGAAAAACCCTGTCTCTGAAAAAAAAAAAAAAAAAAAGGCATTTGAATGTCACTGGCTTTCTAAAAATTTTTCTGAATGTATTACTTTAAGGAACACTCCAATAAATAAATAAAGACAGAAGACACAGAAGTGCTGAAAAGCATTAAAACCTCTGGCAGTGGGCACAGGAAGCAATCTGTCCAATGGAACAGAAGGAAAAACACGCTGAAGAAATACTTCTTTTTTTAAATTTTTTTATTTTTTATATTAGTCACAGGTTATTTACTTTGTATCCCAGCCGTAGCCCCCTCCCTCATTCCCTCCCAATCCCACCCTCTCTCCCTCATCTTCTCCCTGCCCCTTTCCAAGTCCACTAACAGGGGAGGACCTCCTCCCCCTCCATCTGACCCTAGCTTATCAAGTCTCCTCAGGACTGGCTGCAATGTCCAAAGAAATGCTTCTGAACTGAAATGGGAAATAGAGGGAGAGGTGGCTCCATGGGGAAAACACTTGCCATACAAGCCAGACAATGTGAGTTCCAACCCAGATCCTGTAATGGAAGGAGAGATCTGACTCTTGACAAGTTATCCTCTGACCCACACATGTTGTTGTTATTATTATTGTTATTATTATTATTATTAAATTAAAAGTGGAAGAGAAAAATTTAATAAGTAGTATTTAATATATCTAACTGCCCTGGAAGTTTGAGGTGAATTAGAAAATGTGAAGCTGATCTAATTAAAACATAACAAGTAAAATATATACTAACTATATACTCTGGGACATAAAATTTATGCTATAATCAAAGAAACATTAACATATACAAAGTAGCAGGCTTAGTAAGAATAGCATTTAGGGGTTGGAGTGATGGCTTAATGGTTAAGAGCACTGGCTGCTCTTCCAGAGGTCCTGAGTTCAATTCCCAGCAACCACATGGTGGCTCACAACCATCTATACTGGGATCTGATGCCCTCTTCTGACATCTAGGAGTACAGCAAATAGAGTGCTCCTATACATAAAATAAATAAATAAATCTTCCAAAAAAAATAGCATTTAGGTAAAAATGCTTTTAGAAGTTTTTTGGTTTTTTTTTTTTTTCTCTCTCTCAT